CAGGGCTCCATAGCTATGGATGTAGCCACTGTGGTAATGACACAGTTTTTCTGGTAAGGAGGTTGGCTATAGTAGGATTAAAAACACAAATGTGCCTGAGCAGGCATATGCAACAGGGATTGCTTAGCCTTCCCTAGCAGACAGGGATACTCGGATATGATTGCCAGCAATTTTATATATATATATATATATATATATATATATATATATATATATATATATATATATATATATATATGTATGTATGTATGTATGATTAGTGATTAGAATGTTTGCTCTCTGACCATGAAACCCAGGTTCGAATCTCACCAAGGTTGATTTGTTAGGAAGGAGAATTCCTGATATTACATGCCTGGAGTGGGACAATCTCAGTGTGTAGCAACTTTGGGAAGTGCCTGAAAACCATACCACGGGTTGACCCAAGCCTTGTGAGTGAAATTGGGTAGATGGAACCCTTGGTGGCCACCGATAGCTGTGCTTGCACAAAGTCACAAGTCATCATGACTGAGGGTTTGAGTGTGCTGATGTTGTTCAGATTGTTGATCATTCTAGATAACATGCTCTCTCCCAGAAACTGTAACTAAGGTCTGCATAGTTGCAGTATAAACCACAGGTGGGCTCCGTGGGTGTTGAGCAAACACAAATGGGTTCCATAGCTATGGATGTAGCTGGTGTGGTATTGACACAAGCTTTCTGGTAAGGAATGCAGCTACACACCCAGTTGGATCAAAATCAAGACCTGTTAAAGTGCGGGTGAACCTTCTTGTAAGGATAAAGGCCATCTAGCACAGTGGTAGAGTTCGGCACCATAGCTATGGATATGACCAGTGCAGAAGAGCCTACCAGAATGAAGTCAATGGTCATGGGGATGGGTTCTCTTGCTAGAATCAACTGCCAAGTGTTTGTGACCGAGGGAAGCCTTCAAGTTGGAGGACATCAGCTGTGGCTTAACCTTGAGGGGTATGGGCCCCACCAGGTCTACTTGCCTAAGACATTGCTACACATGAATGAATACCTCTCTGGCTTTCAACCCAGATATGTGGAGGGAACTGTTCTGGTGCTCAATTGTGTGGCAATCCTACAACTACCCAGTCAAGCGACTGAAGATGATGATGATGATTACATTTTTATATACACAGTCAATAGTTACCCACCCTCGTCCAGTTGGCCTAAGTAATGTCTTGCATTTACCTTCCTTTCAGAATAAGTACTGAGATAAGTATTTTATATGTGTATTTCTCATATTGGCTGAAGTACTAACATTCTGTATAGAATTTTATACAAATATACGGTAATGTAGATAAATATACAACGTAAGTACATGGGTATTTATAAAAAAAATATTTCCTAAAAGCATTAAGACGATGACGTTCAAATATTTGTTGCTTCTTGGCATGAGGCAAGCCAAATTCCATTATAAAAATAAAACACAGAAAAATAGAAAAATCACATGAAGAATATAGAAGAATAATTATTAGCTCACAGAGTACATGTCAAAAATGAATCATATCTGCTAAAGATCATTGTAGTATCTGTGCCCTCTACCAAAGACCAAAGTAAACATGCCCCAGCCCACTTTCTAGTAAAGTATGTGTGTACACTACTGCACACAAACTGCCACTTCCTAGACATCTACTGGGGATCAGTGCAATATCTGTGCACTCTACTTCAGTAGGCTGGTAGATGAAAATAAATAAATATACAGTTTTATAAATAAATAGAATGTCTAATCAAATATGGATAACCACTAAAAATAATGTTTAAAGTGATAAAAATCTGTCCAATTGATGAACAAATCCATTACCTTAGAAAATTTCTTTGTGTGTGCATATAAATATATATATATATATATATATATATATATATGTGTGTGTGTGTGTATATATATATATATATACACACACTATAGTTCAAAAGTTTGAGGCGACTCCTGGTAATTTTTTAAATTGGGCCAAAAAGTAGTTGTTTTCTACTTTAAATAAGAGAAACTTAGATATGGTTAAAAAAGTGAGACATGATTTTTATTTGAAATTTTATTATGACAAAAAGAAAAAACAGCATTTTGAGATGAAATTTTGCTCTTGTCAAAATATCCTCCTTTAGTGTTGATTACTGCAGCACAATTTTTTGGCATTTGTTGCAAAACTCTAATAATTGATTACATCCTGTTTTTCAATGACTCAAAGACCTCTTTTTCATTTTTTTCACTCTTCTGTTTTGTTCATTCCATACTAATTCTGGGCTTGGCTCCAAACTTTTAAACTGTAGTGTGTGTGCATATATATATACATACACACACACACATATATATATACACGCACACACACACACATAGATGATGATGATGATGTCAACACAAGCCCTTTAAGTAAATGCTTCTACACTTTGCTTTCTGATCAAGGAGGTGACTTCTTGATGTCCAGTAATAAAGTTACAGTTGGTCTGATAACATCGTCTTAGGTCCATTTGTGTTTGTTCAACACCCACAGAGCCAACCTGCAACTATGTTGAGCAGACTTTAGTTACAGTTCAGACATACACCCCACTAGGGATGCACACAGTTTTGAGTTCAGAGTTGTCCTTCTCTTGTAATGCTTGCCAGCCATGGCTAGAGAGTCCAATCTATCCGACTATTTAATCCATAGCTAAGGGTAAAATAGATGGGCTCATATCTTTCCCAAGGGTATTTGTGTCAAACTGAATATAACGATCTTGACCAAAATTTGAATTCCGTTCGCTAATTTCTCATTCTGAGCCTTTAACTTTTACACCACCTGCCCTCATATAACTTTATAGAAATATCATAATTTTGTATTTATTTGTATTTTTGTTAATAGTAAATAAAAAAATTGATCCCAATATTTCATAGGACCCAAAAAGAAAGTACACAGTTTACTTTGACATAGATCATTTATCTGAAACGTTAACTCCTTATCATATGACAATTGTAACAGCTGTTATCATTATTAGTAACACGTATTTATCAAAGATTTATGAGAATGAGGCTGACCACTATCAAGAGAAAATAATATTGCTTTCAGTTTGCTGGCTTTTGAGAAATCCCCAAAAAGGAAGTGAGACACATCTTGACTCTATAGCCTCTTTGTAGTTCAAGAAGTGAAAGAAAAGGTAGAGAGGGGGGGTGTCTTTTCCTTTTATTTCTGCTTTTATGCAAGTCCACTTGTAGGCAAGATCAAATAATATAACTTCTTCAAGATTTCAAATTCCTATATTAAAAGACGATGCTAAATATTAGCTATTGATCTTACATATCTGAATACTTTTTGATTTTTTCTTTAATTGTTGTTCATTGGATCCTTTATTCTTTGTTGATTCAAGGATATTTGTACTGCGGGTGTGAAAATTTGGCCTTGTGAAAATATTTAACAAGCCCACAAAGAAAAAGGAAAAGAAAAAAGCAGTTAAAGTTTAAGTGCAAAATTTGGCAATGTTTGACCTTTGTGCCCACCCACCAAAAAATGGTGTATCAAAAGGATGGTTATTCTCTTGACACTGCCATTACTGTATACACTTTTGACTCCCTCGGCAATATTTATTGTTTTAAAAAGTGATAATTAAAAACAATCATATGAAAGTGAATTTATACATTTTCTTTATTCTTAAGAATTGACAACAAAGATGTTAAACACTATTTATTAGATTGAGTAAAAAAAACTCATTTTCATATTTATAAAATGGTAAATAATAAATTTTGCATCTGTCTATATTTCTGAGATGAGGTATTATGTACATTATTTACATTATTCAAATTATTGTCCTCATCTTTGTCGCCATATTTATTACAATGTTTCGACCGTTGTATGCTCCAGCCTTCTTCAGGTGGTTGGAATGTCAAACCCTTTATTTCGCTCTCTGGGATAGACTGTTCTAGTTCCATGTGCCATGACTAATGGATGTCAGTTATCAGTTATCTCTTGTTTAATTAATTCCCTGAGAGAGAAAGATAGAGAAAAAGAATTAGAGAGAGTGAGGAAGATAAAAAAATAAAGATAGAGAGAGTGATGAAGATAGGGAAAAAGATAGTGATAGAGTGAGGAAATACAAATAGTGATACTGAGAAAGATAGCGAGAAAGATAGAGAAAAAGACAGATATAGAGTGAAAAAGAGAAAGATATATATAGAATAAGGAAACTAGAGAAAGAGAGAGAGAGAGTGAGGAAGTAATCCAATGATACCAAGAAAGTGAGGAAGAAAGAGAGAGAAAGGAAGCTAAAGGAAAAATTACAGAGAGTGAAGCTAAAAAGATAGAGAGAGATTGCAGAAACTAGAGAAAAAGGCAAATAGAAAGACAGAGAAAGAGATAGAGTGAGTAAGTTAGAAAGAGAAAAGGATAGAGAGGGAGAATTTTAAAGAGGCAAATACAGAAAAAGTAGAGATAGGGAAAAAGATAGTGAGAAAGTAAAGAAGATAGAGGGACTGAGAAAGATACACAGAGAGAGAGAGAAAGAGGAAGCTACAGAAAGAGAAAGAGAGTGTGTGTGTTTTATGAAGATGGAGAAAGAGATAGAGAGGGGAAATTTAAAGAGAGAAATACAGAATAAGACGAGATAGGGAAAGAGATAGCAAGAGAGTGAAGAAGATAGAGGGACTGAGAAAGATACAGAGAAAGAGAAAGAAGAAGCTACAGAAAGAGAGTGTGTGTGCTTTATGAAGATAAAGAGAGAGACGGGGGAAGATAAAGAAAGAGATAGGGAGAAGAGATAAATACAGAAAAAGTATATAGAGAAAGAGATAGTGAGAGGGTGAAGAAGATAGAGGGATTGAGAAAGATACAGAAAGAGAGAAAGAGGAAGCTAAATAGAGAGAGAGGGGGGAGTGTTTGATGAAGATAGAGAGAGTGGTAAGATAGAGAAAGGGATAGGGAGAGAGGGGGAATTTTAAAGTGATAAATACAGAAAAAGTAGAGATAGGAAAAGAGATAGTGAGAGGTTGAAGAAGATAGACGGATTAAGATACAGAGAAAGAGAGTGTGTGTGTTTTATGAAGATAGAGAAAGAGATAGAGGGGGAAGATAGAGAAAGAGATAGGGAGAAGAGATAAATACAGAAAAAGTAGATAGAGAAAGAGATATTGAGAGGGTGAAGAAGAGGGAGGGATTGAGAAAGATACAGAAAGAGAGAAAGAGGAAGCTAAAGAAAGAGAGAGTGAGAGGGTGTGAGATTGATGAAGATAGAGGCGAGAGAGTGAGAAGATAGAGAGAGGGTAATTTAAAAAGATACATACAGAAAAAGTAGAGATAGGGAAAGAGATAGTGAGAGGGTGAAAACATAGAGGGTTTGAGAAAATACAGAAAGAGAGAGAGAGAGAGAGAGAGAGTGTGTGTGTGTGTGTGTTTGATGAAGACAGAGAAAGAGAGAGAGAGAGAAAGGGAAGATAGAGAAAGAGATGACAAAGGAGAGGCTACAGAAAAAGATAGGAAAAGGGATAGAGAGGGGCCGAGAAATCTAGAGAACAAAAAAAGATATGCAGAAAAAGGTAATCTAAAGAACTAAATACCGTAAAAGTTGTCAAGAGAGATCTAGAGATTCACAGAGGACAGATTCCAGAAACAGCAAGAGGGAGAGTGAGTGAGGCATGTGCCTTCTTGACTGTTTTAAATTGGCAACAAATTCTAGCAGTATTCCTTTCATTGCCTGACGTGGAAGCAGCCACTGCTGCTGCTGATGTCAGTTGCCGGTAAATCCAGAAATATGGCGGTGAAGAGGCGAAGAGGTAACTACCCCGCCGATAATGATCAAAAAACGTCGCGTAGCGATGCGAAAAGGGCCAGAAAGTCTTCGACTGCTAATGATTTGATTTATTACATATCTGTTATAATAATTGGTAAGTAAATAAGTGATTAATACAATGACAGGGGCGATGGTCGATTTTGAAACTGACATGTGTTGGATTGCTGTTGTAAAATTGTATTGTAATTAATTAGTTAAATCGAAAAGCATTTTTCAGTGATTTATTTATATTTATTATTTTTATTGTTCAGGTTTTCATTAATTATTTTGTTTTCATCTTTTAAATGTTTCCTTGTTTGTAAATTGATCCTAAAATGCATTATTTGTTAAATTTAAATGTTTTTTAAAAAAAATAAGTGAATGAAAAAAAAAACTTTTCAAGAGTTCTTAAGCAAGAATTAATTAAAATTAATTAATAATAGTTTAAAAAAATAGAAAAATCTATCTGATCACAAATTTAAAAAAAATAACTATAATTTTAAAAAATACTAATAAAAAACGTGTAATCTAATCTAGTTTTATTGTTGACATCTAATCTTATTTCAAAATTTATTTAAAAATAATAATGTATTGAGTTGACATTTGAAAACCAAATGAAAATTTTTTCTTTTAATTTTTTTAATTTATGCTTTTTTTTTTAGCTTTGTTTTTCTTTTTCCTTTTTGATTACTATTATTTTCAGTTACGAACCAGAAATAACAACATTTTTGTTAAGTGTTTCTTAAAATAAAAATGCATAGGATGAGTAGTGCCCAAAATTATTTGTTTTTGTGAATGTTTCTTGTCGATTATTTTCAGAAAGGTAGATCAATAATAAAAGTATATTTTAAATTGGTTGGTTCTAAATTTAATCTTGCTTTAGCAAACAAAACTGAAACTAGTGACTGGAATAGATATTTGAGAAAAGTTTTTCATTTTTTTTTTTTCTTTTGTTTTTGGTATGTAAATTAGTAAATGTTTTCATTTTTTTGTCATTCAATTACCCACCATATTCAGTTTTTAAACCCAGAAATCTTATTATTTATAGAAACGTTGATAAAATAACTTAAATGTTTCATAATTCTCTCTTTATATTGAAACACGTGTTTAGTTTCAAACTACTTAGCTGAAGTGTTTATGATCGTTCCAACTATTTTTGTTGTTGAAATTTGAGTACATTTTTTTGTTTGACATTAAAAATTCATTTCTAATGTTACTTAAATAAAAATATTTTGAACCACAGGTGAGCAATTGTCACTATTAGGGAGCTAGTACATTTTTTTTTTTTATTCCTCCCCCGTTATAACAGGTTTTGTTAAAGACTACTGACAAGGTAGTGCGATTAACTTTTCAATTAAACTTTTAAAATTAACTAAAAAGCTTAATCGCAGTGCCTTGTCAATCGCCTTTAACGAAACTTGTATAAAAGAAGGGTTGCTGCCCAATAGTTTTGTTTTTTTTTGTCTTCATTCTGAAATTTAAAGAAATTACAGAATTTTATTTATTTTTTTTAAAGGAAAATCTGAAAAAAAAGTACATTTGTAAACCTAAAAAAAAAAACACTACCTCCAATTTTCTGGTAAAATAATGTACCTCGTTTAATTCGGATCCTAACAGAAATTTGCAAATTCCAATGATACATGAAGAAATTCCAAATTTGCAAAACCATACACAAAAAACGAATTTATTTCTTCAGCCAGCACTGATGCCGCAAGTGATTTTTCAGTTTTTGAGATTTAAAAAACAGTCTTTACATTTTTCTCCAGTAAAGACATTTTTTTTTTAAGTATTTTTATGTGTGAATGCAATTCATTGGAATCTACATAGCCAAAAAGAAGGTTGAACAATTTGAAATAAAACTAGAGAGAGACTTTTTTTTTTTTTTTTTTGTTTCCATTGTGAAAGTTGTGTAACATGTGTTGCCTTATTTTACCGACTGCTGCACTGATGGTTTTAATTTAATGCGAAAAAAAAAAAGAGCTATCAATTCTGTGGGTGGTTCCAAGAAACATTGATTATTATTATTACGAACAATTATGGTTCAGCCAGTGCTCGTTGATAAAGTGAAGAAGAGAGTGAGTAGGAGGATGAATTTTTAGTTAGGAACTCTTGAAATAATCCAGTTGTTTGGCCAGGCTTGACCTCTGAATCATTCTTAAATAAATCAGAACGTAGCTTAGATGTGGCACAACGCCGAAGGTATCGAACACCCAGGGTGGATCGAACTCACTACTCAGTTAACCTAGGTTTGCTAACCATTCATCATTACACTTACGTCGAAGTGCTGAGATATATTTTTTAAAATACCTTACGAGGGAACTAAAACTAAAAGCTGTAACATCTCTTTCATAGACTTTTTGTTGGCAGACGCATTCTTAGGGTGGGAAAATGACCATTTGGAGTTTGAACTATTCATTTTATTTTTTAAAATTAAAATAATGATTGGATTGGATCAATAAAATTATACTTAAAGTTAAAACATCCCTTAAGAATTTGATGCCAGTAGTATAATAATTTCCTTTTTTTTTTTTTAGTTGGCAATGCATAAAAAACGTGTTTCTTTTATTTTCTTCAATGAAACAAACTTTAGTTTAAAAGTGTCGATGTTAGAAAATGACGTCTTTTTAACTTTTACTTTTTTAACAATAGTGAAATTATTTTTTAAAAATATTTTGGGCGATATTTAAATATTTTTAATCTCTGTTGCTAAAATAAAATTTTATTTGAAAAAAAACGAACATCATTGCAATATAAAATGACAACAGGTTGCACAATGTGACAATAATTAATAATTATTTTTAATTTAAAAAAAAATATCTGATACATTCCATTTTATTTTTTTTACTGCGATCATTTTTTTATTTATGGCGTGATGAATCTATCTGCACATGAACAACTATGTGGGCCATACTGTTTTTGTTTAAATACAGAAACTGTTTGTTTATTTTCGCAAAAAGCGTTAAAAAGACTATCCTTTAGTCACCTCCTTTTCAGTCTGCTGAACTCAAGGAATCAAATTATTGTTTATTTTTTAAAAGTACTTTTTAAAAAAAAAAAAACAACCCCCCCCCCAACAAAAACGATTTTTAAAAATATTTATTTTAAATTTTAAAATAAAGACATTTTTAAAGGATAAGACGAAAACCTACGACTTTGACAATGTAAGACTTCCACTCCGTCTTTTCGTCAGAACGACTAACGACAAAGAAAGCAGTCTCACATTGGTTCAGTTGTGGTTACTGCTAGTTTGATGATGTTTGAGTTTGAGTCTATGCCATAGAATGGCAATTCGTATCATTGCATCATGGCTCAGAAACCTATCGAATATTTAATATTTTTTTAATGTTAAAAAGATTTTTCACCAAATTGAGACATTATTTCAAATCTTGGTTTTATTTTATTTTTAAAACTAACTCAATGGTTGTTGTTAGTAACAAAAAAAAAAAAAGAAATATACAACAATGGTATGTCAGTGGCATATTCCGCCTACACGTGTTCAGCTAAGTTTATTTTTAAACTGAAGTAATGTGTAGTAGTAGAAATTTATTATAGAAGTAATAAATAAATTAATTATATTGGTCTCTATCTTTCTGATTATGTATAAAATTAATTTCTTTTTAAACATTTAGTCGTTTAAAAAAAAAATTGTTGGAAGCGATTGTACGCCACTGTTAAAGGTGAAATATTCGCATTTAAAAGGTTTTGCCTGTTATATATATATTTTTTGTCATAAAAAAAAAACGAAAATTAATGTGTATTTGAAAGTAATTACTTTTTTGCTTAGGTGTTGAAGAACGACTTAAAAAAAAAAAAAGGAAGAAAAAAAAATGAAGCCCAGTATATTTTTTGTTTTGTTAAACTAAAGGAATGGTTAGATTCCAAAAAATGGAAAAAATTTGAGCAGAAAATTAATAAGGAATGATTCGTAATTATTTTGTTAAAAAAAAATGGTTGCAGTTCACTTTAGAATTAATCAGCAATCACTTCATCCACTCATCAGGAGGTATCATGCACTAATAATATTTGCAGTGTCCCTTACTGGTAGCACTTGACGATTGCATCTTGCATGAAAATTAGCTGTTATCTGCGAAGAAAATGTATATTTATTATTAATATAAATGTTCACTCTTAATTATACATCAACCACTGTTTTATTACTATCAGCAGTTAATGTGCAATAAATATATAAATATATAAATATATATATATATATATATATATATATATATAATGTCTACAAATAAAACTCTGGTGTCAAGGTGCTGAAAAAAATTATTTGTATTAATTCTGTATTTATTAACTTTTGTATTATTCCCCTCCCCCGAATAGTTTCGATTGTTGCTCCATTTGTTTTCAAGGGTTGCTTTTTATGTAGTCCTGCAACTGGTTTTTAATTCCAGCTTTCTCATTTTACAAAAACTGAACTGAAAGACACTCATACGTTCGGTTTTTATGTTTATGTTTTGTATGTGACAAGAATCCTACACAGGATTTGCAAACAAGTCCACACAAGGGACATGCTGGAGGGTTGACTGTCATATAGGCTGATGTATTAGCCCGATATTTAGTGTTGGTTCTTAATTCCTTCAGATGGTCGAGATGATTCTTTTCAAAGTTAGTTATACCTCAGTATCCAGTCTGCTTGGTTTTCAACAGCAAGTTCAAACTCCTATATAGGGATGTTTGCAGCGTTTAAATTGTATTTAAGTTTGTCCTTGAAGTGTAACCAAGGACAGCCTACATTACGCTTGCCATGAAAAAGTTGGCTGTACATGAGGATTTTTGGCATCCGATCATCACTCATTCTGATGAAATGACCAGCCCATCTGAACTTTGATTGCATCAGAAAGGATTCAATACCACTGGCTCCACATTTGATGAAAAGATCAGGGTTAGAGATTTTGTCCTGCTATGTATAACTGCATATTGAATGGAGCCAGCATTTATGAAAAGCATAAAGTTGATTGATGTGTGTCTAGTGTATGTATGTATATATATGTGTGTGTGTGTGTGTGTGTTATATATAAGCTGCAAGTATTAATCCAAACAAGTTTGAGTCAAAAGAACTGACAAGGTCCGTTTTTAATATTTTATTGTATTTTTCCAATTTTCAAATAAGATATTGTGATCAAGGTCTTGGATTGCAACACCTTATGTTTGAAGTTTATATGTTGTTTTGTTGAAGTACTTTTAACTGTTTCATTTTCAAGAAACAATGTAATGGTGATTTTTCTAAGCACAGCTTAGATGTGGCACAAGGCTGAAAGTATGGGTCATCCAGTGATGATTGAACTCACTACTCATTTGTAATGGTTCTGAGCAAGACAAACTTGCTAATCATTAAACCATGCCGAGGTGCTCCAAGAACCAATGTAATGTCTGTGTAGTAGGTAGAATTACTTTACACATGATATCACCATAGGCTATTACAAGCAGTCATCTTTCCTTCCAAATAATGCCAGCATGTAGTCAAAAACTAAATGCAGATCACATCGATTCTTTTTAATCAAACTTGTTTTAGCTGAAAACCTTCTGAATAATGGATTGAAGAAAAAGGTCCATTTAGGAATCTCTGGAGTCAAGGGACTGAGAAAAAATGATTTGTATTCTATATTTATCAAATTTTATTTTATATTATTCTCCCACTCCCAAGTATTTTCAATTGTTGCTCCATTTCATTTTCAAAGGTTGTAGACATGCAACTAGTTTTTAATTCCAGCTTTCCCATTTTTGATGGAATCGATTTCATGTCACTCAAGGGGATATCTTATAAACGGTCAAACTGAAATTTTTACGTGTGTGTTTTTTATTTTTACTTTATACACACTTCAAGACACCCAGTTTAATATTGGTGGCTTCTCTTTTATTACAACGGTGCCCAGAATTTGTAGTCTTTCTTTGCAGTTATATATTCAGTTGCATGGATATGAGTTTGTGACCCTGGGTTTCATGTTTTTGTGATCATCAGACAATGGCCATTGATCAAACAATGATTGCAAAAGTGTGAAACCCAGGGTCACACACTCATATCCATGCAACTGAGTATATTAGCTCTATCACTGATATTGAGCGCTTTCCATTAAGTACTGTGCATATAAAATAATATCTATCTATCTATCTATCATGATGTTTAGTAGGGATAATTCCAAGGAGGATATAAATCCAAAGAGAACTCAATGTAAGAACAGAGCCACATATATATTGGAATTATCCCAAAAGACAAAACATCATTATATATATATATATATATATATATATATATATATATATATATATATATATATAAATGGTTGCTGGTCAACACCAGGGAATGGTTATATTAAAAAATGTTCAATACACAATTAAAAAAAAAAAATCAGATGTGCAAATAGGAAGATCAATGACTCCTGCTACCATTGTTTCAACCATTGAGGTTTTATCAGGCAAGTGTGACTGATTGATTTTTCTATTTTTTTTTTTTTTTTTTTTTTTAGCATATATATATATATATATATATATATATATATATATATATATATATATAGTTTTTGTGGCATGCTATAGTTATGAGAGAAATCTGATCAATATCGGAGATAGAGCATAAGCGAATATAAGGTGTGGACATATCAACACTGTATGATGACATGCCTGCCTAATGATTGCATTTAACTGCAGCAGGATTTCACCATCTAGTGTTGATACCTTAACTTCAGCTTGCATTTTGAATTAAAAAAACAGTAATTGTCATTCAGTTCTCAGATTTTTTTTATTTTTTTTACAACATCATTAACTTGATTATTCATTCATATAAATCTAGATAATTTAGGAAAATATATAGTTGACTAATTATCTTGAAAGGAGACTTAATCTGGCCGGCTTGTTAAAAATGACGAATTGTCTGTCTATATTTCTGAGATGTGGTATTGTAATTATTTACACTATTTACATTGTTCGGACTGATGTCCTCATCTTTGTTATCATATTCACAACGTTTCAGCCATTGTACACTCTGGCCTTCTTGTAGTCAGGTATTGAACTCACAGCCCTTTGGATCAAGTCACAGGATCCAACCTACGCTTTTTATCCATTGGGTCCTGTGTCCTCAAGGATAAAAGCATTGATTGAATCCAGTGACTTTACCCAAAGAATTGTGAGTTCATTACTTAGCTAAAGCTGAGGTGAATAAGGAACTTGGAGAGTTTAGTTAAAGGGAGATAACTGATACTGAAACATCTGGAAGAGGCATGGCATGTGGAACTAGAACAATCTCCTGGTGAATCAGTTCGAAATTCCAATCACCTGAAGAAGTTCTGGAGTGTACAACAGCTGAAATGTTGTGAATATAGCAACAAAGATGAAGACAACAGTCTGATCAATGTAGTGTAAACAATGAATTGGTTTGAAAAAAAATCAGAAGTTTAATCCAATAGGCTATTGTCCTGTGGGACATGGTCAACAGAACAAAAACAATACATTAAAAAAAAGGGTTTAATTTGAAATTCCCTGAAGGTTACATGGATTGACAGAAATCTGATAAAGGACATGACCACTGAAATATTGGAATAATAACAACAAAGATGGAGGCAGCAGTCTGCAAGTAAATAATGATAAATCCTCATTCCAGAAAATCTGACAGAGAATATATCAGTCAGTTATATGCCATGCGTGATACATGCTTAGACAATCATGTATCTTTTGATAAATGACTGACAAGGCAGATTTTTTCCCGTAGTAGGTTGCCATTTCTTTCTGCAGTAGACCAGTTACTATCCAAGACTATAGAACCCGGTCTGTCCAGCTATTTACCCATAGTTTGGGGGAGAAGATTAGGATTCATACCTTTCCCAAGGGTATTAGCATGTAAGTGAATGTAATGGATTTGACTGGAATTTGAACTTGGCACTCCGATTCATCAATCTGAGACGCTATCCATTACTCCACCATGCCTTCTCAGAGAATCTAACGATTTGAAAACTTTGTGGTGCATGAGTGAATTATAAATAAATTTGTGGCTTCTTTTTATTTTATTTTTTTTTTTTTCAAGTGATAATTAAAATTATTTGTCAGTAAATATTCAGCAAAATTTAAGAAAATAGACTTTTTTTTTCTTTCTTTTTTTTTTCTTTTTTTATAATTTGAAAATTCATTCATGTTCAGTATCTGTCTATATTTCTGAGAAGAGCTTTTATGATTACTTACATTATCTGAACTGTTATCCTCATCTTCATTGCTGTATTCACAATGTTTCGGCCATTGTATGCTCTGGCCTTCTTCAGGTGATTGGAATTTCAAATTGAATCCTTTATTTCATTCACCAGGATAGTGTTCTAGCTCCACGTGCCATGCCTCTTCGTTCATGTTCATTGGCATTTCAAAAGTGTTCTCTCAACTTAAATTCTATCATTCCTTCTATTGTGAGAGTTTGAATTCCAGTCAAGTTTGTTATAATCACTATAATGCTCTTCTCCCCCAGCTATGGCTTAAATAGTAGAACAAGTAT